CTCTCTCTCTCTCTCTCTCTCTCTCTCTCTCTCTCTCTCTCTCTCACACACACACACACACACACACACACACACACACACATACACACACACATTATATCACGCACATACAAGGGCGAGACGGGTCATTGCAGCTGGCCCCTGGGTTGGTTGTTCGCCCCTGACACAGCCTCTCTCTCTCTCTCTCTCTCTCTCTCTCTCTCTCTCTCTCTCTCTCTCTCTCTCTCTCTCTCTCTCTCTCTCGCCTTGTCTGTGGAATCTGTGGATATTTTTCATTCCGGGACCCGCAAATGCTTAGCCTCACCAAGTTACTTGCGGCCTCTGTCTCCTGTCGGAAAGAGGCAGGCTTATAACGGAACAGCCTCACTTACCTGTCAATTTTCTCTTCTTCTGCGGCTCAGCAGTGGCTGTGATTTCCCTGTCGTTCCCAGGTTGTTGGTACTCGTTACTATGGGATCGTGCTGAATGCATGGTACTTATTTTTCTCTTTTCAACCTTCCATATGCATAGTTAAGAGAAAGGGGTAAGTCCGTTTGTGTCACAAAAGAAGTTCGTAAGGGCAAAAAAAACACGAACGGGCAAAAGCGACGACCTCCAAACTGGAAAGGGCGATGAAAGCACCGCGCGCCGTGGTGCATACCAGGTGTCATAGCTACAGGGGTCGGCCATGGTGTCAGACGGGGAAAGAAAACCAATGAAAAGGGCCCAACCGAGGCGTGCAGTACTTTCATTGCCCTTTCCAGTTTGGAGGCCGTCGGGATAATTCATTCGTGTTTTTTTTGCCTCTACAGTTTGAAAATGTGGTACTGCCGCACTTATTTCAAAGAGAAATGTTGAGGATCAGGAAAGACGGAGCCTTTCTTGAGGAGACCGAAAGATTAAGAGTCGGAAAGCGTAAAACTGCACTTTTCACCCTCACCCTGAGCAAGTACTGGTGAAGCAGTGGTGACTCAGTGACAGACTTCTACCTCTCTTGCCTTTGTTCTCTGTTTCCCACTTGCTGGAGTGCAGACTAGGTAGGAGATAGCGCTGTGACGCGCCATTCATCTGGTCCTGACGTGCCAATGCAAAAAAGTGAAGAAGATGGTGGCGGATTCAACTTTGCGCTCTTCGCAGAAACCGAGCTGGACATAGCTTTCCCTCACTGTATTCCCCAAGTGATTTTGGTTGGAAGATAAAAGTTTATCGCATCTCCGATCACGGGTTTTACCTCCAGCCAGTGTGATTCTTCCCCTCGGTTCATAATTCGACCACTCTCCTCCCTTCCCCTCTTCCTCTCCACTGTGCACTGGGATATTCCAAAAACAATCGCACTCTCATCCTTCACCTACAGTAGCTGGAGCACCAAGTAGGTTCTATAGAGCTTGGATTCCCTCTATTGATACTGCCGGCAGTCTGGGAAAAACAGAAAACAAGGAAGTGAAGGTGCCGGTGGATGTTCCGTGAAGCTGCCCCGTTAGTGCTCTTCATTATAGACGACCTTGCTCGTGTAGTTGAACAGGAACCGGTGCAACTTGCGTATTGCTCTTCCTTAGACTCGACCTCCGCTTCCCCTCAATGCCCTCATTAAGATAACCCTTCTAGGATGATATGGAATAAAACCTTTTTTCTTTTCTTTTCTTTTCTTTTGCCAAAAAACGACTTCTTTTATCTCACTCCGGCGGCATTCGAAATAGTGATATGTTTCATACCGTGTGGTACGTAACCCATCGGTTTGGTAGGACTTGACCATTGTTTTTCCCGCCCTTTCCTCGCCATAGCTGAATCGTCAGAGGAGTGACTGGGAGACCCCTCCTTGTTCCATTTTCTCTGCATCTCTCTGTCGCCACCTCGCAAGAGAGTATCTGTATTACCCAGTAGGGTCTCACCGTTTCTCTTCTCTCGCAGTTGTTTGTCTCTCCTAGTCCGAATTGCAAATGCTCAGACTACGTTTCCACCCGTCAAATCGAATCTGATGGCGGTAATGGGCCGACTCAGTTCCGAACGCCCAGTCGTGTGTGTGACGGCTCTAGTAGTTATCTTTCCATCGGCGGCGATTCGGCACCGAGCGTAGCACGACTCAGCTGCAGCACAGAACCGGCAAATGCATTTGGTGGTGTTACTTGCACAAACCAAACTTCGACGAGTTCTTTTCTTCCCTTTCTCCATCCAGATTTTGATGCTATAATTTCTTTTCGAGATTTGTTTAGGTGAAACGAACCGTTTTTTTTAGAGTTATTGTCTTCACTTTCTCCTTGCAAACTTTGGTGCTGCTAGTTTTCGAGCTGCTTCTCGTCCATCATTCTGTTTCCCTTTCTCTCCGCAATTCCATTCTGTTCCGGTTTGTTTCAGACACCTTCCCGAGAAGTAGCGCTTTTCTTATGAGTGCAGCTATGTTGCAGTTCTTGTACAGAGTATCCGGTGTATCCGCCTTGGCAGGCAATGATGCCCAGAAGGAATCTGGGCTGTCAGTGTTTATCAAGGAGCGGAATATAACGGTGAGGGAAAATGCCCTTGATGTGCACCCTCGTGATCCATGGATAGTTTATATAGATAATACACAATCCCTTCGAGTGTCGAATTATGAAGATGGGAAGAAAGTTATTTTGGAGTTCCCGGTTTCTGTTGACGACTGGGTGCCCACGGACACGAAATTCCTGCGCGAGGGAGATTCCATACTGTTACTCGAAAAAGATCGGTCTTCCCACCTCAGGCTCTCCGGAAACCAGCCCAAAAGTTCTGTGCAGTTTGTCTATAAGATCTTGCAGACTTCCGACTTCAGAAAATGAAAACAGTCATGGATGTGGACCAGGTGCATTGCCCGAAATTGACTGTACATCGCAGCGGCCAGTTTATATTAACTGTTGGGACGATTTCGCATTTGCGTTTTGGCATTACGAGTAAGATTTACTTCTGGGATTGCGGCAACGATTTGCATAAACAGACAGTCACGGCGAAATCTAAAATAACCATGACTCGCTTCCATACTATTGACCCACACATTTTTCTGACCTGCCAAGAGAACTGGACACTCGACATCTGGGATACGAACGCCATGGCAGTTCTGCAAACATTCCAAGGAGAGAGCCGAGTCATTTCTATGGGACTCTGTGCTACACCCGAGAAGTTACTCATCATCATGGGTGAACAGTCCGGCAAGCTACAGGTCTTGGATTATCAGAGGAAAGAATGTGTGACCGTGCGTAAAGCACAAGAAGAAGATGCGGTCGTGCAATCTTTCTTCCATCCGCACTTGCCCTTCATTCTGACCGCATTCGAGGGATTGTCATGCGGCGTTCTCTGTAGAAATGACAGTGTGCTTGTGCTGCCGTGCAAGGAAAAAGTATGTTTCATTACGATAGAAGGTGAGTGTCCCAAGCTTGACTTTGAGGAGAGAGGGAAAATGAGGGTGGAAAATGTGAGAGAAGAATGCGACCTAAGACTTCGATTTGAGAAAGAGTATGTAGCCAAGATAAGACAGTTGGAGGCTGAGCTGAACACTGTGAGCGTGGAGAGGAGGGCCCTCGAAGAGGCACTACAGAAGGAGACGCAAACACACACACAAAGGATGAAGGAGGTTGAGACAGAGCTAAGCAATGCGAGGATGGAGGGACGGGCATTTCGAGACAGTCTCGAGAGATGCCAAACAGAGCAAGAGAGGGAAAGGGGCATGCATTCAAAGAGGGTCAAGCAACTGCAGAACGAAATCGGCAGTTTGGTGTTCGAAAGCGCGAAACTCAAAGAGAGGTTTGAGAGATCTAAGGCCAGGGTCCAGCATTTGGAATGCGGGTTGGACAATGAGGGAGGTGCCCTTGTGAGATTGGAAACCGTGCGAAGCGCGCTTGAAGAGGCACTACAGAAGGAGAGGCAAACACACACACAAAGGATAAAGGAGCTTGAGACAGAGCTGAGCAATGTGAGGACTGAGCGACAGGTATTACGAGCCCGTCTTGAGAGATCCCAAGCAGCGCAATATAGGGAAACGGTAGTGCACGCAAAGAGGCGTAATGTTGAATGCACTCAAGAATCTGACTGTGGAAAGGGATGCACTCAAAGAGAGCTTTGAGAAGTCAAATGCCAGGGTCACGGATTTGCTACGCAGGTTGGAGATTGAGCGAGGTGCCCTTGAGAAACTGAAAACTGTGCAGGCAGAGACAAGGGCGCTTAAAGAGAGATTTGAGACAGAGAAGCGAATGCATGCAGAGAGGATAAAGGAGCTTGAGACAGCGCTTAGTGATGGGAGGATGGAGAGGCAGGCATTAGGAGAGAGATTCCAGTCATTTAGAGAGTTTTCCCTTGATGAATTGAAGTCTGCCACAAATGACTTCAACGATAACTGCAAACTCGACCAGCAAAATAATTACGGATGTGTTTACCTGGGAAAGATCACACCCGTCACGGTGAAGAGACTCGAGGGTGGAGACAGCATGACATCACAATTATGGCATGTCCGATTGACGAGAGAGGTTGTGGAGCTGTTGAAGTCTCTTCGACACTCACACCTGCAGACCCTGCTTGGTGTGTGCTACGGAGGAAACTGTCTCGTGTACGAGCATATGGACAATGGAAATGTGAAAGAATGGATTGCCTCCACCAAAGGGCCACGAAGGGGTTTCTTACCATGGTACGTCCGCCTGCGGATTATGGCTCAGATTGCACAAGCCGTGTCCTTCCTTCACTCCAGCAAGTCGCTAGGAGGTGGTCCTATCATCCATCGTGCCATCAAGCCCGAAAACATCCTTCTGGGTACTAACAACTTGGTGGCAAAACTCGCAGAGGTTGACGTGGCCTTGATTGCCTCAGACACTAAGGATGACAATGCAGCACCTGGAATGACTGTCCCCTCAAGCTGATGCTCAGTACATGGCCCCGGAATTCTTCCGCACCGAGGTCTTTACTCAGCAGACGGACATTTACGCATTTGGAATCACCATCCTGGAAATCCTCACGGGAAAGTTCAAGAATGCATTTGGAATTATGGAAGATGCGATGGAAGATCCTTCCATCTTTAGAAGTACCTTGGACCCCAACGCAGAAAGCTGGGATGTGGATCTGGCAATGCAAGTGGGACAAGTGGGTCTGAGATGCGCCAGTTTGGACAGACGCAACCGGCCTAGCATGACGACAGGTGAAGGTGCCATTCTACCTTTGCTGGAGAGTATTGATCATAACCTACAACTTGCAGACTCGATTGATTGAGGACATATTAAGAAGGATGAGCCTTCGTGAATCGTGAGTAGCTCAGTCACACTCATGCAGCGGGAGGGTCACCGTGGATGCGACAGGGCTCGATGCGGAGGTCAAGCTTGATGAAATGAGGATCATGGCATTAAATTTTTGCATGCAGCTGTCACTCTGCAGTGTCTGCACTATATTCAGGCTCCTCTATGTTCTCAGAGTCTGCAATTTGGGAGCCTACTACCTTCTTCCCCCGAATACAACGTACGGTCATTATAGCTGTATCTAGACTGAAAGATACCCCAAATACAGCTATAATGACCGTACGTTCGGGGGAAGAAGGTAGTGGAATGTCAGGTTAGAGGTCAGATGAAATTTTAGGGAAAAGATCTCATGTATATCTTCTTTTTTTGTTTTTTTGTTTTGTTTTTGTTTACGGGACAACCCGAGCGGTTGCTGGGAGTGCTGATAGGAGCAGACACCGTCAGCACCTTCGGGAAGTGGGGAGCAGCACCAGCTGGAAATCAGGCCCAGCGTCCCTGTAATGTACAATGTGATGAATGAAAACATGCAAGCAAGATTTGTAAATAGGCATGAGGGGGCCGGGCGCCGGGCGGTGAAGAGCCCGACCTTACTATGGCGTATTCAATTTGACTGTCGGTTATCATCTATATACTTATTAAATTGCTCTGTTATGTCTATAACTATCTGTAACTGTACTTGTGACAACGCACAATGGCTCATGCTGTGTGAGGTGTAGTTGAGGTGTGTAGTTTTGAGGATGCTCCTGTGATGTATCTCAATCTCAGTCTTAGGACTTTTTGGTTTTGGACTTCCATTGCTCATCTGAGTCATCTCCTTTGTGAATAGAATGGAGGCTTCCCTCAGTCTGCTCCATGTTATGTGCGATTTGTCGGATTTTGGTTCTGTCTGCTGGTTTGCAAGTTGTAGTTCTTTTCGGTGCAGTGATGAGAGGGAAATTACTGGCCAGCAGCGAATGGACATGACTTACCCCCAAACTGAATTCATAACTTTTGCTTTAACTTTTCGTTTCAGCCCAGTGCCGGCACCGTGAACATGGCCGGCCCCGGTCAGTTAACAGAGACCGGCCGGTCATATGCCCGCATATGCCCCTGCGCCCAAAGCCTTTCACGGTGACCGGCAAGACCATGAAAGCGTGGTGGTGTGTGTTTTTCTTTTTTTTTCGTCTCATTCTGCCGCTGTCGCCACAAGCCCCACTGTGACATCGTAATGACATTAAAAAAATATATTAAAAAAATTCGAAATAACCTGTCAGAACAACAAACAAAAGATCTCATTTTGGAAATAACCTGCAAAGCAGCAAACAAAAGTGCTCATTTTGGCTGGTTCCCTGATTTTTCTCTTCTTTTTAATTAAAAAAAGTATATATATTCGTGAAAAAAAATAATGAAAAAAATTATGGGGGTGTACCCTCCGATGACCCCCACCCGCCTACAAAAAAAAAGAAGAAAACCTCCCCGTCCAAAAAATAAAACCGAAAATTATTTCCGCTCCTTGTGACTGCCGTGACCGCCCGGCGTTCACTAATTTTGTGAACGGTGATGGGGGTCCGGTCACTGACCCCCCCATTCATGAACGGCGGGTACAGCACAGTTTCAGCCTTTCTTCCCCCTCCAATCTTTGTTTTGGCTTGTGCTGCCCTCTCTTGACTCTTAGGCAAGTTAGGGTCATCATAAAGTGTGTCTATTTGTCTCCCAAGCAAGGTTCATCATTAAACCACCAGTACTTGGCCCAGCTATAGAAGCCGAGCCTGAATATGCCCTGCGCACTGATTTTTGCCGAGCCTGCACTGAATGGGAAAAAATACGGGACATTTGTTGCGTCAAGCAGGTGCTGCCCTTTATGCTGGACCTGCTGCCAGCAGATGGAACATAAACAGGCTGTCGTTTTCTTGTTTCCACTCAGGTGGCACCCGAAGCCTCGGCAGGAGTGCAGCCAGTGCGAAAGATCTTCAAAAAAAAAAAAAAAAAGGGGGAAGTATGTTTATGTCACATGGGAGTTTGTAATGGGCACAAAAAACAGCCTTCGGCGTCTGTGTCAGGGCCTGAGTTCGAAAAGGCGTTCGTAACTCAAGGCCGGCAGTGGTGCTCTAACCGTTAGCTATCTCTCTTTGCGCTAGGTTTCTTTCTCTGCGCTAGCAATCTCTCTTTGCGCTAGGTTTCTTTCTATGCGCTAGCCATCTTTCTTTGCACTAAGCTTCACGTGGGATGCTGTAGTCCTCCTTAGCTAGCGCAGTTATTTTCCCTATTTTACTCAGTTTTCTTCTACTTCCACTTTCCGGATCCATCTCTCTCATCATAATCTTTGCTCGCACAGCCTTCTCAGTCATAGCCTTTGGTGCTAGACCCACCTCACGTGCACCATGCCTGAGGCACGCCGCGGTCAGGGTAGAGGAAGGGGAGGTAGAACAGGGAAGGCCAAAGAGGAGCCACCGGTTAGAGCACGCCGCTCCTATAGTTCAGAGGAGGAGGAGGAGGGGGAACCAAGAGGCTATGCGCATCCGAGGCCCTATCCACGTTATCAGGGTGGTACGGGAAGACTCCATCCCCTAACAGAATGTAATACCTTCGTAAAAAATTTGATGCGCGCTATAGTACCCCCAGTGCTTCTTCTCCCCCTTATATTCCTAGAGCTCCTCCCACCCCAGCCGTAAGCAAGGCCATAGTGCCCGCTCCGCCTCCTGCTGTCCCATGCACTGTCTCGTCTCCTCATCACCCCAGTCACTGTGTTCTTTTCAGTATTTTCTTTCTTCTCTTCCTTTTCCAACTTGAACTTGTGGCTGTCTTGTACGTCCTATATAAGCACGACTTCTTCTCAGCTTTTTGAGCCTGATTTCAGCCCATAAAAATTTTCAGTTCATAGTCCAGCTCATAGCGTCCCAGGCCTGAGAGTTTGGCTTCCTTAAGGCCAGGGATGCAGGTTCCTCGTGAACCAGCCTGGGGCCGTTTGTCGGCCACCAATTAAAATTGTAAGAAGGATTTTGTCTGCTTGTTTGACTTGTTTAACTGTTGGTTTTTCCCATGGAGGCTACCTCAGCTCTTGATCAGGCATCTATACCAAGGTCCCCAATAACGGGGATACTCACTCTATCTGCCATGCTGGAAATAGGGTATACCAAACCCCCTTTTCTGTTCTCTGGTTTGAGAGACTTGATGGAGATACCAAACCCTTGATTTCTTTCTCTGGTCCGAGTGAGGCGTCTCCTCAACTTCTCAGACAAAAGGAAGGGGATACCAAACCCTTTTTCTTTTTTCTGGTCTGGGAACTTCAGCTAAGTATTTGCATATCTGCAAAACCAGCAAGTCCCACAGACAACAACCATATCCCAGCAAGCAGACCCCCTGACAACCAGCAATCAAACATTAACAAATTAAAATAAACCCATAAATAAAACAATAAATAACAAATAAGAATTAATACATAACAACTCTTCATACCCAGGCTTTATTGATTGCCTTGGTTTCGGCCCACCACTGGCCAAGAATGTCAGACGTCCCGTCAATCTGACATACCTCATTCGGCCTGCCTCAGGCCAGGACTAGTCAGACCATCTATCTTGACAGCCCCTTTGACCTGCCTCCATGTCAGGACCAATCATACCCACTGCTCGAGTATGACAGCCCTTTAGCACTCTCGCAAGGACACCTGGACTATTGCGGGTCTAGCCACCCTATGACAATAGACGTCCTGTCAGTCTGACTGTCCCGAATCCGGATTTGACCACTACGGTCAGGGACCGGTTCACCTACTAGTTTTTGGTCAAGGGCGCTGGCTACCCCACCCAAATTTTTGAACGTGGGACCCGGTCTAACCACAGTTTCAGGCTCTGGCTAACCTCACTGGATTGCATCCTCTGACTGCGGTAGGGTTCCAGCTAACCCCTTTCAGCCTCATAGGCCAGACTCCCGGAGTCTTAGCCTCAACTGACTACGGAATCCGACACTCGCGTCGGGGACCTGCTGACCCCACCAGATTGCAACCTACTGTGGTAAGGCTCTGGCTGGCCCCGGCAATCAACGCATCCTTAGGTTAAAGAGGAAAACCCCAGGCACAGAGAGTCAGGCAAGCATATCATAACCCACAAGCAGACTGCCCACGCCCCATAACAGAACAAACATCTCTCAAGAGACGTCCCGTCAGTCTCAAGAGGCACTGAACAATAACATGCTAGCCAACACTAAGGGTTTACAAGAGACATCCCTTCAGTCATAAGCAAAAACTTAGTGCTAGCCCCAGAGAGGTCCCTTCCCTCAACAAGGATTTCTTTTTCCAAGAGATGTCCCGTCAGTCTCAAGGAAATACTGAAACTCTGATCTCAGAGATGTCCCTTCCCTCATCTGAGTGAAGACAGACCCTTAACCAAGAAGCACGAAGTCCCTCAACTGACCACCCTCAGTCAAGTATAGCTGAACTTCTTTATGTCTGCCTTCGTCTGAATCTCTTCGATGGACAAACTTAATCAGAGACACGAAGTCCTTCTGCTGATAACTTTCATTCTGACAGAACTGCTCTTCTTGATGCCCATCATGCTTTCTCTTTATGATAAGAATAATACTGCTTATATCATTTGATGTGCCACAGCCATGAGTTTCTCAGATTTTGGCACCGTGTCAATGCTCCCAGAACTATACTCACATTTACTCCCCATTCTCAGGATTTGACACTCATGGAACGACTGCAGCGCTGCATCAAAGATGTAGTCTCATTAACTTAGTTGTTTGTTGAAATAGATAACGAAATGACTTGCTGAAAACTGGAATATTGAAACTGAGATGTTGAAACTGAAATACTGAAGCTGAAATACTCAAACTGAAATTATGTTGAATTGACTATATAAGAATGATCATTGTCTGCTGATAACTGAGTCTCACTGTCTCAGTGTCTTACTGTATTTTTTCTCAGTCCTCTATGAACGTTCTCTTATTTGGATGCTTGATTTATCTTTTCTCTCTTTGGAGTCACTCTAGGGATCAAGTCAGGGTCTCTGAAGATGAACTTACGAAGTCTTGACCCTGATACCATGTCATGAACCCTGGATCCATCCATTTCTGAGATCTCATAAACCTTGTCTTCTGCCTCTCCTGTGATTCTGTAAGGGCCAAGCCATCTGGACTCCAATCTTTTAGTCCATTGTGTCTCAAGAGAACTCTCAAACAGAAGAACAACATCTCCAATCTTCAATTTTTCTTTTCTTATATACTTTTTATTGTTCCATCTTTCTTGATCTGATAGCCTGCTGGATGCCATTCTCTCTGCTGCATTCATCACTGCCTGATCAACTTCAGATATCTGTCTCATTCTTATCTGAAGGAGTTCTGGAATAGAATAATCTATGTCGCTTTCCTGACTTGACCATGTCTTGACAATACTCTCAATAGGCAATGTAGCATATCGGTCGTACCACAGAGTAAAAGGTGTATAACTAGTAGTTCTTTTGACTCTGATATTATCAGCATATACAGCAACTCTTAACACCTTTGGCCAGTTACTGAGTTTCACTTCACACCACTTGGCCAATGAATCTTTCAGAGTTCTGT